ACGTGGCCCCCCCCCCCCCCCCACCAGATCTTGGAGACACTCTAAAGCAATGCCTCTGGTCCTCCTTCCCTGGCTCACATCGTGTGCCAGACACTATGCAGGGAGCTTGACCCAGGTTACCTCACTTCACAAGCCATCCTAGCTCTTAAGGCATATTGGGATGGGTCAACAGCGAGTAGGTGACTAGACCTTAGATGGACATGGGAGCCTTTCCCTAGCAGCATCTGGCTCTGCCAGCATCTGCCATCTGGGCACAGCCCCTCTCAGTGTCCTCCCTATGTGAAGCTAGGGCCAGGCGTGTGGTCACCGCCACAAACCAGTTACTGCTGTTGCCCACCCCCACCCCGCAGCGTGAGCCTCATCGAGTGCGGGGCAGTGCACACGGCCTTCTATGAGAAGCTAGAGGGCGGCCCAGGCGGGGCTCTGGAGCGTGCAGACGCCCAGACCCGCTATCTCTTTGCGCACTACCTGCGTGGCTATGAGCAAGCTCTGAGCGAGGCGCAGGACCCAGAGGAGGTGACGGAGGTGAGTGCAAACGGAGCCTCAGGGAGCGGTATGGGTGGGTTACGGCGGTGCACCCCCAGTGCCTTCCCCCGCAGACCCGCGATGCTCTTCCCGCCACAGCTCTTCCTGACTGCACTGCGAGCCCCGCAGCCAGCCCTGCGCTACTTCTCCACCGACCGCTTCCTGCCGCTGGCCCGAATGCGCACAGAGGATCCCAGTGGTAGCAGCTACGTCGCCGCCATGCACCAGGAAGCCTTCGCTGACCTGCAGGCGCAGGAGGGTGCAGAGGCTGGCGCTGGAGTTCTAGGGGATCCGGCCAGAGCCTCCAGCTCCTTCATTTGTCTCCCCGGATGCGCGACCCCTGGGGTGACATCTGAATTGTGCTGTCCTGCATCGGATAAATAAACCGGGTCAGGACAAACCATGTTTCCAGCAAAAGAACTAACCCTTTTTCTTATTTTAGAATTTGTTTTGTTTTTGACAGGGTCTCACTCTGTAGCCCTGGCTGGCCTCTTAACTCACAGAGATCCGCCTGCCTCTACCTCCCGAGTGTTGGAATCAAAAGGCCTGTGCAACTAACTGTGCCCTTCTCAGAATCATTTAAGTAGTGCAAACTCCCTCAGGAGTCAAGACTGAGGGTTAATACGTATAGTCAGAGGTTAAGTTTTTTTTTCTTCCAATAAATTTATTTACTATTATTGTGCATGATGTGAAGGAGGACACATTCCACTGGGGCACAGAGGACAGAGGTCAGGAGACAACTGTTCTCTCTCCCACCGTGGACTTCAAGAATTGGATGCAATCTTCAGGCTTGAACTGTAAATGCTTTAACGGATAAGCCAGCAAGCTGGGGTAGGTTTTAACTGTCAGCAATGATTGGGATCAGGCCAGTTGTGGTTGAATCGGTGTGTTATGTAGCCCAGGCTGGCCTTGAACCTGCTATGGTAGCTGAGGATGACTTTGAAATTTATGATCCTCCCAAGTACTGGGGGTACAGGTTTGAGACACTAGGCTTGACTTCAAGTATGACCTCTTTTTTGTTTGTTTGTTTGTTTTTCCGAGACAGGGTTTCTCTGTGTAGCTTTGGAGCCTATCCTACCAGGCTGGCCTTGAACTCACAGAGATTCGTCTGCCTCTGCCTCCTGAGTGCTGGGATTAAAGGTGTGTGCCACCAACGCCCCAGCTTAGTGTGACCTCTTTAAATGCACCTGAGAGTCACGTGTATACAGTGTATACAGAAGGTACCACCTCTAATGCCAGCACTCTACAGGTGAAGGCAAGAGGACTAGGCCAGTTTGGCCTGCTGGAGTCTCTTAAGGAGAGGGAGGTGGAGAGGTAGCTCAGTGGTTAGGAGCACTGGCTGCTGTTCAGTTCTTGGCACCCACATGGTGACTCACAACTGCCCATAACTCCAACTCCAGGGGATCTGATGCTCTCTTCTGGTCCCAGTTGGCACCAGCCATGCATGTGGTACACAGACATACATCTGGGCATATATACATAATAATTTTAAACACCTGGTAGGTAGTATCCCTGTAGTTTCAGAATCTGAGAGGTAAAGGCAAGAGGGTCAGAAATTGAAAATCATGCCTGGTGCTGGTGGCGGTGCACGCCTTTAATCCCAGCACTCAGGAGGCAGAGGCAGACAGATCTCTGTGAGTTCAAGGCCAGCCTGGTCTACAAAGCAAGTTCCAGGACAGGTTCCAAAGTCATAGACAGGTTCCAAAGTCAAAGTCAAATTTTTGTTTGTCTCAAACAAACAAAAAACGAAAAAAGAAATTCAAGATCATCCCTCCACTGCATAGTAAACTGAAGAGCAACTTGGGAAACAAGGGACACTGTCTCCAAAAGAGAAGCCAAAACACACACCATACATGCTGGGAGCCAGAGTCCGACCAATGTCTGTGAGTTGGAGGTCAGCCTGGTCTACACCATAAGTTCCAGACCAGCCAGTACTACATAGTAAAACCCTGTCTAAAAAAAACAAAAAAGGTCTAATTGTATTTGCTTAAAGCACCCTTGCCTGGACAGAGCTTGATCCCTCACCTCCATCTCAGTAAAATCTAATGTTGTACCCTAAGTTCTCAAGACTTTCTGTGATGTTCCTGCATCTTTTTTTCTTTTTCACTTTTTGGTTGTATCTGTCTATGTGTATGTCCCCAGGTATGTGGGCAGGTGTGTACAGATATATGTGTGCTTGTGTGGAGGGCCACAGTTGAAGTCAGGAGTCTTTATTTGTTGGTGCAGCGTCTCGCCGGACCTAGAGCTCATGATTCCAGCTTGTCTAGACTAGCAGCTTGTCCCCAAGGGTCCTAGATGTCTGACTCCCTAGTGCTGACATTACAGGAGAACATAAAGACAACACTTTTATGTGCATCTGGGGATCTGAACTCAGGTACTCTGGGCTTTAGCCATGAACCATGTCTCCAGCTCTGCACCCTTTGCACCTTCTTCTGTGCACACTTCTCTCCTGGCCTCCTCAATACTCTCGTTGACGCTTGCCTCTCTGTGTAGCACTGGCTGTTCTGGAACTCACTTGGCAGATCAGACTGACTTTGAACTCCCAGAGAGCTGCCTGCCTCTGCCTCCAGAATGCTGGAATTAAGGGTGTGCGCCAACACTGCCAGGCTCAAAATTTGCCATCTTTTAACTGGTTCATTTTTCCTGATCGCTGATTGTATTTTCTCCGTCAGTTCTTTGCTATTTCCCTGAGGCACCCTACCTAAAAAAGTATTCCTTCCCTTCCAGTATAGTTCTTTTCCTCTGTTTTAGTCTTTATTGTCTGATCACCACCGCATGCATTCTGGGTTTATTATTTATCTCATCACAAGACACGCATGAATTCACTTCAGTGAACTTTATTCTCTATTCTATCCTTTATACTTAAGGCAGTGAACTAAATAGACACCTAATAAAAGCAACACTGTGTAGGCTACATAGTGAGATTCTGTCTCAAAATAAGCAAACAAACAAAAAAATGTAACTGTGCCAAAAGGAAGACTAACACCTCCCCAACCTTTGCTTTGACTCCTTTAAATTCCTCTCTAAAATCTAATTTGAAGTGTCTCCTGCAAGAAACTTGATTCCTTAACAGATTATAAGGCCAGGTTTCCAGACCACGGCACATTACAAGTCTCCTCTCCTGTCTATCAGCACCTGCCTGGTCCCAGGGTTTGCTTTGTAACTCAGTCTGATTTCGAACTTGCAGCGATCCTTCTTGGGATCAAAACTGGGATCGCAGACCAACTCTCAGCTATTTTCATTAATCTCGAGGCTGGGTTGCTCTCCTTTTTGCGATCTCCGTGGATGATTTACCCTAGATGTTTTCTGATGGCTGTCTGGCCTCCACGCCACTCCACTACCAAATCGCAGCGTTACTGACCTAACACGCTGAGTTGCCCTCTTGCCAGTCCTGGCAAACCCGAGTGTCTTACGGAAGGCACGAGACCTGCCCCCAGGGTTTCAAAAGACTCTGGAGTCCAATTTCTCTAGTGTGGAAGGGAGATGTGGTAGAGCTGTCTAGTAGCTGGGAACGCTGGCTCTGAGCAAGCACAGCAACGTGATTCCACTGTCCGCGTCTCTGGGATGGGTCCTGGCTTTGTCACAGTCTCCAAGCAAGCCAGGGGGAAGCAAATGCCAACAGGAATCCGAAAAATGGGCTTTGCAACCCGCCCTGCACGCCTCCTGCCAGTCTAAGAGAATCCGGTG